ACAATCGGTGGCGCACAGGCACAAACAAGACGTGTTCTCTGATTCTTACAGTCAGTCGTCTTCCGTTCTCCTTCAGCCAGGCCTCAAAAGCGTCACCAAGCACTAGGTGGAGTTGCAACCTTGACAAAGGTCGCAGAGTCTGGTGCTGGAGGTACTTAGCACTGGATCTCCAAACACCTTGCACAAGCTCCGACAGTCAGAACTGTAGGAATTCGGGAGAACTGGGTGAGAATGTCCTTGTCCACGCTCCCTGACACTTTGAAAAGGCAAAAAAAAAAAAAAAAAAAGTGTTCCTGCAGATCGACTGGAGAAAACCTGCGCCACCTGTCAGCCCCGCACCTACTCAGGGAGAGGAGCTGCTTTGACCTGACAAATCCCCAGAAACCCTCCCAGACACAAAGGGAGGCAGCCGGCCTCCCTCCCTGGGAACCCTGTCTTTGTGCAGGTTGCATTGGGGAGAATGACAGCCACAGCAGTTGTAGGACTTTCAATTTGCTTTACAAAAATAGGGGGAGGGAGGGGGGCCAAACAAAAGCAACCCCGGGCCTGTTTACCAGGGAGGAGGCTTAATGGGCTTCCAGAGAAAGAGCAGGAAGTGTGTGCTTTCATTCTCCCTTGTCAGCTCTCGGGCCTGGAGGCACAAAGATGCAGGCTGGCCTCCCTTGTCCTGTGGTCCTCCCCTCCCCCTTTTTTACGAGGAGTTTGATGAGGGAAGACAAGTAAGCCATCAGATGGGGCCCCGGCCATTGGCAACGTCATTTATTGAGTGGAAGGTGCATTGTTTAGGCATTAAGGGTTCAGAGGTCAAGTCTCTCTGACTGTTTATCATATCCAGGGCCCAGAATACCATGGCACCTCAACTGATGGTGGTTGTTTAGAGCCATCGAATGGCTACAAGATCATTTGGAATGGACTGCATCAGGATGTGTTGTTATAAAGATGGAAACGTACTTCTGCAAGATGCCTGGTTCTGAACACAACCCCCAAAATTTAATAGTTCTGTCCTCTGAATTGTTCTGTCCAATGAGGTGTCACAGTTACAAGGCTGCTAGAAGACCTGTGTGACTAGCTCTCAATTCGCTTCGGGTTCTCTTTCAGAGTTACAGAGCTGTGCGATAATTCCCCCACCCACCCCCAAGAGATTATTGGTCCTATGTAACTTAAGAGAAGGTTTTGTGTGTTCCAAAGAATCCTAGTCTTCGTTGACCAGCAGGTAGTTGAACAAGCTGAGTAATAGTTATTTCATCTTACGGCAGATACAGTCATGCATCACTTAACAACAGGACACGTTCTCAAAACATATCATTAAGTGATTCCATGGTTGCATGAGCAACGTAGAATTCACTCACACAAACTGGATGGTCCAGGCCCATCCTCCACGTGGCCTCTTGAGGCAGTCAGGAGAGGCTGCTGCCAGCCAGTGAAACAGGACTAATTGGTTGTACAAAAGTACACCCTAAAATAACAATAGAAAGCAGGGTTTAGAAAATACCCAGCCAGTCCCACAGTCGTTTCTAATCATGATCCCATATTATGTAGCTCCTAAACTGTACTTGCTACATACACTGTTATACCACCAGGGCACAGCAGCTTTCCTGACAGCAACGTCACCACAAATGCATGAGCAATGGGTTCATGATTATGATGTCACGATGACTCTGACGTCACCAGGTGAGGGGACTTTCTCAGCTCCATTGGAATATGGTGCTGGGACCACCACCAGAGATGTGGTCTGATGTTGACAGAAACGTCAGGCAGTGCATGACTGTATTTTATAAATTATTCATAGACCACGCGTAAACCGATTATCAACTTAACTTTGAGAGCCGATCACTAATGGATAATCGTGGCCATCTGACCACTCACCTGACCCATCATGGCCCCTACCACAGAGCCAGGACCCCTCTGCTATGCCCACAAACGTCTCTTTACAAAGGAGTTCTGAGTTCGATTTTTCCAAGGTTGGGTTCAGAAGGGCAAATTTTCTTGACTTTGCTTTTCCTTTTAACCTTAAGAGCCTAACTCAGAATTCTGAAAAAGGCAGGATCCCAGAACAGCAGCACACAGCATGCTGAGCTACCTCCTCATGCCATGCCACAAAGACAGTAAGAAACTCCCTCCAAAATTAAGTCCATTCTTGTAGTTCGCATTCTCCCCGAGGCATCTGTGACACCACAAACACACGGGCAGAGCTCTGATGTGGTTTCTGGGTTCCCGGGATCATAACCCAACCACCCAAGACTTGTGGAAGAATGCCCCTACAGAACTCTTCTATTTTTAATTTTTAATTGTGGGAATGGCTGATTTACTCTCAAAGAATGTTCAAAAATCCTCAGAGCTGTGCAAAGATCCATAATTATCAACAATTGCTAAGGCAGCTTAACCCTTATGTAGAATATTGTGCATACAAATGGGTTTATTTTGAACCAGTTCAAACTATTAAACTTGAGTCTGGAGCGAGCTTTATCCCAAGGCAGTGCTCAATAACCTCACAGTAGCAAACACCTTGGTTATATGTCTTCCTATTTGGTTGGCTCGTTTTATATCTTTGCATGTTTAAATAGGCAGTGGGAGTGCTAATTAAAATGCAATCATGCAGATAAATTCTACCATGTTCCTAAAAGGTAAAATGAAAACCTTTTTGATTTCAAAATCTTTGTGATGTCCAAGGCAAAACTATGCATGATCCTCAACCCACGGGAAACTTCATGATTATCACATTTGAAGCCGAAACTCAATTCTGGTCCGTTTCTTATACGTGGAATGTATAACACATTAATTATGAATAATTTCTTGGGAAAGTCAAGAAAAATTTCAGGTTACTGACTCAGTTTGTATTGTCTGTGTTCTGTGTGCAAAATGGGAAACATAACGGATATTACAAAGCCTCTTTCTGTCCAAGGCCAAGGGCAAATCCTCTACTGGGTTCTCCATCAGACCTGAGGCTCACCAGCTCTCAGGTGATCTTCATCACCAGCAACAAAGGTAAAACAATTATGCTACATCTAGCAAACCATCTTGTGCCTCTGAGCCTTAGTGCCTCTATAATAAGCCATAATAAGGCACTGCTGCCTACTTTTGAGATTATAGATGCATTTGGGAAGTTAATGAAAGCCATTGTTTCAGAGACTCAACAAACGTGTTCATCCCACAAAACTGTGACATGAGTCTACTGATACTCATATGCATACCCATGGTGCTCAAGGTAAGAACCCCAGGTTCCTCCCAGCATGGACATTCCATATGTCTTCAAGCAAGGCCTGAGTTCTAACCTGTCTGCTTTACTTCACACTGAAAAAAAAATTAATCATGCAAAAAAATATCATATAAAAATTAGTCTTTGCTTCAGTGTGAGGATATTCTGCTGTGCGCACTATTTACAGCCCAGGAAATAACTAGAAGCCATTTAAATAATGACTGTCTTGGCACCCTTGAAAGCACGAGACGGTCTAGGAGTTCTTCTTTGCACACTACAGAGGCCTGAGCTTTACCACAGGCCCTCACCTCATGTCCATGGCCTCTCCCACACAGGTGCACGCATGACAACTTCAGACCCAGGCTCAGACAAGTGCTTGGCCTGCTCTGGTCAGACGGGGACTCCTCCTGGGGATGCTCTGTAAGATCCTAAAGGGTCACCCTCAACTTTCGTCCTCACGCTCTTCAGATCTATTCTTGGAAAGCATTTCTCACGAAATATACCAGAAAACAATATGTTCCATGGCCAAATAGGTCTGTGCAGTGGAGATTCCCAAAGCACTGGGTCATATTGAAGGCTCTGAAGACTCTCTCGTAGAGGCGCCATTTTAACTTGGTCTTACACCTTGTTGTAAAAATGTCTGTGATCACAGAACAATATTTTTCCTATCACTTATTGGAGTCGCCTTGAAGATAAAAGATCTAGTCTCCACCATGGAGTCAAGCAATGGACTCTCATTGAGCTTGCCCTACGCTCCGTTTACTGGGTCCACTTGCCATTCCTTTCTGCATACCAGTTTGTTGGATGACCTCGTAAGTCTTCCCCAACTTGGCTCATGGTGTGGTCAAGCCACCTGGATCCGTGCCCCTCCACTAGCAGTTCATACCCACAGTTCTTTTTGGAACCCCTCACATCTGCATATAAGAAGACCGCCATCCTCCTGTCCAAGAAAGAGACCCCACTGTCTCCTCTTCAAATGTGTTAGGTAGAATGTTGGAGGTGAAAGGACCCGAGAAATCCAATCATTCTTCTAACTTTACAAAGAAGAGAACAGACCTGTGAGATTATGTGACTTGACAAAATTAAGACCCAAGCCCAGATTTGAGGATCCCCAGTTCGGTGACCCTAGGAAGTGGTTAGAGCCTCTTGGAGGCACATGAGATTGATTCACCCCCCACCACCACCACGGCAAATAGACGGGTTTTCGATGAGGAGTGAGAAGTGTCTGGCACCAGACCAGTGATCCACACAGTGAACCAATTCCACTCAGGTGTTCCCTGCAGGGAGGACAGGACTAGCAATGAGGAGGTTCTTTCGGAACTGGGGTACTGAGGGAGCACTGTACTGGGAATTGGACTCGGGAAGCTGAGCCTATCCCTCATTCTCCCGATAACCAGGAATAGAATCTTAACCTCATTGGGCCTCATCGGCTACCTCTATCTCCCTTTTAGTTCCACATTTTTGGATTCTGGGAGCTCAAGTTCTTTCCCTTAAATTGTTCTGTATCTTCAGCATCCCTTTTTTTATATTTTAACACACAAACAACGAGCCCCGGGTCTGCATGGCCATCCACTATTTAGAGCCGATTTTTTTTTTTTGTCCTACGTGGGTGTTAGTTAAAGGTTCTCAAGATTCTTGAATAAAACATCTCTTAAAAAATTAAAATAAGCCAGGGATCCACAGCTGCTGATTTGGTTTTGAACAAATATCAAATTCCCCATCTCCTCCTGGAATCCCGGAATAAATGTAAGCCTCCCCCCACTCTCCCATGCTCCCCCACACCCCCACACCCCCACACACTCACCAAAATCTACTTATCCTATTTCCTCAGCCAAGACCTGGAGCTCTCAGGAAAGGCACAGCCGTGTTGCATGTGAAATCTAGACTACTCCATTTGGTAATCTCAGTCACTTCCTGCAAATATCAAATCATGGCATCATTAACTTCAGATTGTTATGACAGGGTCTCCTAATTCGAGTCTGCGGTAGTGCACTTAAATCATAACAACTATTAAACTGTTGCATATTATTTAAAGAATGTCCACTGCCCCCAGGGCCTCTGGGCATGGGTACAAAAATACTGCTATGGAGAGGAGTCCACAGCAGCTCTCAGTAAGCAACTTGCTGCTCATTATCACACTTTCACCAGTGAGACTAAGTACATCAACAAGGATGAACTATAAGAAACATATGATTCTTGTTCACACTTACATAAAATAGTGACAGTGCTGTTAGTAATTAGTTACCAGATCCTCAATTGCTTTGTTCTTTGGCATTAGTAATATGCCACTTGAAGTTTTACACCAAATTAACATTACCCACATTCAACTGTTTCAAAACCCTTTGAAAATGAGCTATACAAAAAGACGATCCGCCTGCCTGACTGTAAGATGTGTACTTGAACTGTTGGCCCCCAGCCTCAAGTGGAGAGTATACGCAGACACTCATTTCCACCTGACCCATCTTGGTACCGAGTCGTACTGTTCTGACCGGATTACCTGGAGTTGAGGGGCTTGTCCACCATTAGGAAAGACAATTCCATGATTCAAAGCTAATTCACCTGTTTGGGAAATAAGTTGATTAACCTGTAACTCTGTCAAATCATCAGCCTCACAGATTAAAGGGAGGGAATGCAAATTCTGAATACAACCAAGGCATCTGCGCTCGGACTTCGTCTGTTTCCATGGTCAACCTGGAGACAGAGCACAACACCAGAATTCCACAGATAATATTAATTAGTTTTGTAAAAAGTGCTGTTAAACCATTACATCCATTAAATACAGCTTTCACTTTTCTGTTTGTAGAAAGCTAGTGATATCTGTCAATACCTGCATTCCTCATGAAAATGAATGAGGCGGTAACTATAAGAATGACTTCTATTTTAAAGAAAAAGTGCTTTGGAATAAAGGGGATTAGCAGAGACTAGGCAAAAATCCCAAAACTGAATTCTGAGTTCTTTTCCCAAAAAGTGAGTGTCTACGTTAACAAGAATAAAACAAAACAAAAACAAAACGGAAAAACCCCTGGCTTTGTAAATGACCCGTGGATAGTGTTTATACAGTCCTAGGGGTCTGTTTATTTGTTTGCTTTCTGCTGTCATTGTAACCAGGAAATTGGAGCTAAGTCTTCTCGCTGGATAACACAGCTTTGCAAGGCCTGAAACTCCCGAATCTTTGACTCCCCATTTCTAATTGAAATCTGGACATGCCAGTTAGTTGACTGGCTGAGACGGGACCCATTGGATCCCAAAGCTCCAGATTTGGCCATAGGATGCAATGTTTTAGGAGCTGTAAGGAGAGGTTCTAGAATGACATTTTATCTTTATCTTCCTGGTGTTCTCATGTAGTCAGACACCGTGCGTTTGCTGTTGAGTGTGTTATCTTCTAGGCATGGAATCCCTCCTGATTCATTCTCTGACTAGGGGAAGAACTGCATTTGTTAGCATTTTACCCTGTTGCTCTTGTGACCATGTGGAAGATGTCTAGTTGGTTTAAAAGGGTCCCTCTGTGAAACTGGAAGAGGCTTGGGGGAGGGCGATACACGAAGTGACAAGAAAGAAATTTAGAACCCACGATCTTTATTCTTATTATCATCACCAAATAAATTGAATTAACCATCTCAGATATTATAAGGATGTAATTAATCATTTGCTGGGCAGATATTCCTTAAATATTAGCTTAAAGAACATATTCTAGATTCTAATAAGGTTTTACTACGTTGGCAAACAGAAAAGAATGATAGGATTGGCAACAAATGTTTTCTTCCTGCAAGTAATTATTTCACTTAAAACAAAATACTCTTTTTTTTCCCCTTCTTTCCACGATGGAGAATTCTTCAATCTTTTTGGATAAAAGGCTTAGATAATCTGTTGTCTCTAGCTGGAACGACTGCATATGTTCAATAATATATCAGTTTCATCAACCGCCATAGAATAGGCACATAGGACAATAAATCATTTTGGGAACTTCCTGAATCCCAGCCAAGTTGTAGACAATAAAAGATCCTGCTTGTAAAGTCAGCTATAAAAGTTAATTTCATACAGGTTCCCCGGCACACATGCCACGGTTCAGTTCCAAACAGATGTGATCTTGGAACAGCAATGGAAAACGGCATGGAGTATTTTCGCTAACTTTCCGTATCAGGAGATCCGCATACTTGGCGTTTTGGGGTAACCTCGGATCATTAACACGTTGCAGCAGGTATGAAGAATGAATTCTTCAAGCTTTCCGAATGCCTTGAGATACTGCTGTTTCCACTCTAAAATATTCCTCCAGGTTGGAAAGATGATCCACCAAGACAGATGAGCAGAGAAAATCTTCACAGAGCAAAATCACACAGACCACAGCGGACAACTGGGGCCGCGTCCTGAAAGAATGTCTTAAAAGAAGGACTTTCTCTACTTCCTTATTTCCTTTCGATGGTAGATGTCCTAGCAGATGGCTTCAGGGACAAGGAGCCCCACCACTCACCCTGGGGAGTCGACAGAAGAGGAGATTGAGAGGAAGAGAAAGGTCGCACTTTGCCACATAAGCCCAGTGACGTGAACAGATTTCAAATTAGTCTGTTTATCCAATGCTGCACTTTGTCATTGGCCGCGAGAGCCACTGTACACGCTCCCGTGGCCCCGCTAAGGCCCACTATTTACCCTACGCATTCCTGAGAGTCCCCACGATCTTCTTCGGCTAAACCCAGGTTTCTCCTCATTTTAAACAACAGTCAGGTTCCCGGGAAGTCACGTGTTCCCTGGGTTTTTTGAAACGTGAGCCTTTTTCCGAGCACCAGCCGAGCCTCCCATTAAAGGGTCTCTGGAACTGATTTGCAACAACGACGAGGAATCCTTTGGTCTCCTCTTTCGGTGGAATGGGGATTTTCAATAATGCCCTATAGATGGACCATCTCTGCAAGAGCCCTGCTGAGCTCGCGAGTTCAGAGCCCTGCTGGTGGTGGGGACACTGCAGGACAGTCAGGTGCCCAGGGCTGAATGGGGGCATCATTAACATATTAATCGTGTGCCTGAAATTAATTAAGGCCAACCCAGGGATTAAGGAGCTCGAGGCCAAAAGAAAAATAGCACGATGATGTTTTGCGGTGGGTGTTTTTATCGTCACATCTTACACCCGCAGATGCTTCAAAATGATAACTGGCGCTTTCCCCTTATTGTTCCACATGCACGTCAAACCAGCCTCGGATACTGTGGGGGACTCCTATTTTGAGGAAACAGAGTGCTATAGTTTTGTTCTTAAATGTCCCCAAGAGGCCCAGGCTCTAAAGGCTTGGTCTCCAGCCTGTGGCACTGAGTGGGACGTGAAAAAAAGTGAGGCCATTGAAGGTGCCCTTGAAGGGAATATTAAAACCCAGCCCCTTTTTTCTCCCTTCCACTTCCCGACTGCCATGAGGTGAGTAGCTTCCTTGGCCACCAGCACCCACGGTGATATAATAATGTACCACTACGGGTCCAAAACAACATAGCTATGCAACCATAGACCCAAACCTCGGAAACTATGAGTCAAAAATAAAACCTTTCATCTCTCTAAGTTGTTATGGCAGGTATTTTGTCATAGCAATGGACTGACACGGAGGTTTGGTAACTTTAGATAACTTATCTGTTTCTACTGCTGTGACAAGTACCTTAGACTAGGAACTTACCAGTAATATAAGATTGTTTCTCACGGTTCTGGACTTGAAAAGGCAGCACCGGGCATGCTAATGCAACTCCAGAACATCTCCCACCTGCACCCTGGGCTCCATGGGCTGTCCACATAGAAGACAGGAGAAAAAGCATTCTTCTCTCATCTCCACCACTGGCCAGCTGCTGTCACATTACCATTGGGGCCTCACTTTTCTCACCTTTAAAAAAAAAGAAGAGCAGACAGGAGGGGACCCTAAGGTCCACTCCCCACTGGACCTCCTGCAGGAGTCTTCCGGGTGGAGGTGATGGAGACAGGCTGCATTCATGGCAAAAGGCAGGCGAGGTGCTTTGGGAGCCTTTGCCGTGTGTCATCACAAGTGTCCGGCATTTCAGGAAACAGACACCTGGGTGTTGAGTCACGGGTGGGTGACCTCAGAGCCACCTGGGAGCAGGCTGAAAGGTCAAAGAGCAGAGCAGAGCCACGAGAAGCGTGGTCACACTTGGCAGCCTCTCGGGACTGTCAGCTGGTCTCTTGGGGACTCGGTCCTCAGATTACGGGTTGGTTTTCTCAGAAACAAGTGCCTGTGGTTTGGCTCCACCAAGGTCAAAACCAGATCCCTGGACCTTGACGGGCCTGTGCTCGCCCGAGGAGCTGAGCTGACATGGTGCCTCTCTCCACTCTCGGCCAGCTGGACGGGGGCCACCGGCAGGAACAGATCTCCCATCCGGTCTCGTTGCTGGTCTCCCCTCCCTCCCACATTTTCTAATCCATAACCCAGCAGGTCTCCGTTGGCAGTGTGTCAGTGAGCGTTAAAGATCGCAACTGTTTAAACTGTCGTCTTTGGCAGTCGACGGGAGTCGGGCTGGACGGACATCCACACGTGACAAGGAGAGCCATCCCTTCCCCTCGCCAGCCCACGAGAGCCACAGGCCGCTGCCGACAATAGCGAGAACGTCTACCGCTCTCCGCCAGCCTCTCCAGCCTCATGCATTGTCATCAGAACAGACTCATTTCCACGATCATAGAGCTAATTTTGTTCTATTTTGCTTAATGGGTCAAGTCTTTGGAGACAAGCCGGGTATTATATAAGGTAATAAATGGTGCTTTAGCGGCAGGAAAGAGCTCTCTCTTGGCTCCAAGGACAGCTTTCTATCTAGCAGGATGCTGTTCGTCGGTTTCTAGTCCATTTTACATCCTAGGAGGTGTGGGTTGCGAAGGAGTTATTCTTTATATATTCCAGCATTTGTTTGAGCTCACAGAGGGTACACTCCCCTGGCAGTGTCTA